GGGGTTCACAGATATATATCTTCTTCACAAAAGACTGACACAAGCAAAAATGTTTGTATTTGTGAAATTTGAAGAGAGTTGGATGCTTATTTCGCTTTCTTTGATCGTTTTATTTTTTAAAATATTGAAGAAATTGAAGAAATAGCAGAAGAAATGGTCCGATCTCTACAATCTCTATAAAAGATCTTGATATATATTATATTGATATGTACCAAGTCTGAATGAAATCGGATGTTAATTTCGCATTTTATGAGCTTCATGGATATTCAAAATTTTTACCGTTTGTGGGGGAGGTACCGAGAGATCCTGTGTCAGCAAAAATGTTTGTGTGTGAAATTCTTATAACAGATCTTGTGTTGATAGAAATATTGAGATGTGTCAAGTCTGAATGGAATCGGATATTAATTTCCCGTTTCACAAACCTCATGGATATTCAAAATTTGAAGGAGGGGTACAGATGGAGTGGACCGATATATGTTCATTCCAACCAGACCTTGGTTAATAAACATATTGTAATGTGTGTAATTTGAAGACAATCGGACTCTTACATCACATTTTATAAGAGTTAAAATTAATCAAAATTTTTACCCTTTGTGGGGGAGGTATATAGTCGCAGCTGAATTAGCACTGATGCAAATATTAGGATTTGCTAAGTTGGGTGAAAATTGGATTATCTTTCCTCTTTCTGTGCGGTAAAATAATTTTTTTTTTGAAAGTGTTGACCTTTTGGGGGTTGAGGTACCAGAAGGTGTGGACCGATATTGGCCATCTCCAAACTCGATATGAGTTTGACCATAATATTACGATGTACCAGTCAGACAAACGGACGGACAGACTTCGCTAGATCGACTTCAAATGTCTTGAAATGGTTTGGTCCAAAGAGACCTAGGGTCTATTTCGATGAGGCGCGTTTTGGCCGTATCAAATAATATATACCCTCTCTCTGGTCATGTGTTTATTTTTGAAGATTATCGAGTACGAAAAGTGAAGATCAATTTTAAGCAAGCAGAATTTGGTTTTAACCTTTTAAAAACCGTGCATATAAGCATAGCGTTTCATCGTTTCATCAATTATTGAAGAAGGTGACAATTCCTCACAACAGTTTTTAAACATCTTACACTTCTTTCGGGAGAAAATGGAGATGGGAGATTTTAAATTAAACCCTTACTTAATTTACATCTCTTAAAATCTGAGAGTTTTTAAAAACATTAAAACGAGCTTCAGGTTCATTGTCGTGCAAATAAAAAAGAGTGAATGACTGCAGCCTTATTTAGATTGAATCGTGAACTTTGCTGCTACCGAGTCAAAGGATTATCGTTCTTCAAAAATATTGAGTTCAAAGTGTTGCACTTTTTTGACAAGAGTCACCAGGTCATTCAGTTTTTTTGGAGGGTCATTCGGAAAATAATAATGTTGTGTTTATGGCTCCAAATATCACTTCTGAATTACGACCAATGAATCAAGGTTGTTTCAAGCTGTACTACCTGCAACATACTTTCAATCAAGTTTTACAAGCAACTGAAGGAGATAATTTGCCTTCGTGATGGCTATAAAAAAATATAAGCCGGCCTTATAAACAAGTAAGGAGCCACCCGTCCTCTTAAAAGCAAAGCAGAGGAAAAAAACCATACTACTGCAAATATTTCTGTACTAAATATCGCAAACAATGGAGAATTTTGAAAATAATGACCCAGACGAAGATTGCAGTTTACGTTCCTAGAAATGTGACAAACGTTATCAATCCTAAAAAGTTATATAATTAAAAACTTTCACACTATAACAAACTCAATGCAAAAATCAACAACATTGACAAATCCAACAGTCGAAATGGTTATCGAATTAGATGACTCAAGATCATATTTAAAAAAAATAACATATCGGTGTGGACGTTTGATTACATACTATGAGTTTCTTATTTTTTTACTTTTAATTTTAACATTTATATATTTTAAATGTTTTCTATGAATTGTTATTTTTTCGTTAATGAAAATTATTACACAAATAATAAAACGATTGATATTTGCTATTAAAAAATCAATTTTCTAAAATTATGAGCCTCGAAACGAGTTAACTGAAAATGTATACAAATGTATGCAAAACTGTGATTCGGTTGTGTTGTATCAGTTTGCGTTCCGCCCAATGAGCGACGCTAACTGATTTGTCAGAACGCCGATTTAAGAACTGCAACAGGGCCCATCTACATAAAAAACCGATGATTTATTCGAGACATGCAGCACCTGCTTGGAAACCTGTGTAAGATTCATCTAAACCAAATAATGTATAGAAGTCTACATGATCTAAAAGTAAAAGTCCAATGATAAAAGATAGTGCGTTAAATAAACATTCCTATCTGACAGTTCCAAATTGTAAGGTTGTGGACAGAATAACCCATTTAAAGGTAATGTAAACAACCTATCTTCAGAATTTAAAAACAGGTTGAAAATAATGAGTTATTCTCTTAAAGATTACAAAGCATAATAAATCCATATTACCATTTAATGAATAATGTCAGCACAGAGAGTGAATTCCCGACAAAAAACCGAATTTTTTGAGTTCGAAACTTGGCGTCGGCAAACAAAGAAAAAATAATACAATTGATTTTAACACTCCTTATTTTCGTAGCAGCGAGCACAGTCTGTAGTATATTAGATTAGAAATCACAAAAGAAAAAAGTAAATTTTAATGATAAAATTAAGTCTGGCACTGTATGCTTTCATTTTCCGACACTAAACCAGTAATCATTTTCCAGTAAGCCAAAAGACTAATATGACTAAAGACAACACATTAACTACTTCCTGGATCGTTTTTCTCTTTCCTTTTTTTTTCCCTCTGTTCTTTTTTCCTAATTTTAGAATGAACACTGTGGACCAACAGCTCTCCGAGGGGAGTAGTTGCCAGTGGACAACTGTCTTTAACCTAAGGCAGTAATTTAAAATGTGAACCTGGATAATATGATCCGATATATTTACATTAGAAAGCGAATACTTTTTACAAATTACTCAGTGGACTCTTGAAAATGTGGTCCACGTCTTCGTATAGTACCTCCCATGACCGGTATTTTGATAATTTTAGCCATATTTTTCTACGGAATTATTTCAAGCTAGTAATTTAGAGGTTGTAATAGGTTCTGGATGCTGTGGCAAAACATCGTCTTTACTGACCCACGTTTTGCTGTGGCACCCATGAATCTCCCCATATTCGGCATATATCTTTAACAAAAATATGTCCAGTTCAACGAACCTCATGCTACAAAACAGAGAATGCAATAGTAGGACTAATACACAACAATTAAAAAACATTAAGTTCGACCGGGTCGGACTTTTAATATCCTCCACCTTAGGGTAAACATAAGAGCCCATTATGACCCACAAAACGTGGACATACACATAATACAATGGTCGTCAAAGGAGCTAGAACCCATTAGAAGACACAAATACCAATTTCTAGACAAATCCGCGAAGAAATGTGGCAAAAGTTATCAAAATACCGAATATGTGGAGGTACCGTTAAATTGATGCTATACCAAAACGTGGTCCTATGTATGCAATGTTTCTCCATCGGAGCTAGAACACATTATGAACAACAAATATCCAAATAACGAATATCGGGAGGTACCATTATAGGGGGGCTATACCAAAGCCTGGACCTATACATACAATGTTTCGCCACACGAACTAGGACCCATTATTACCTATACAAATACCAATTTTCGGACAAACCCGTGAAAAAATCTGGCAAAAATCATTAAAATACCAATTATCGGGAGATACCGTTATATGGGGACTATACAAAAACGTGGTCCGATATATCTCATTTTCAATACCAACCATCCTAGATACAATACAAATTGTTTTGACGCTCTACGTCAAATAATGTGGACTGTTCGTGATTTCAACAGACAGACCGACATCGTTAAATCGAATTAAAATTGTATGCTGATTACGAATATATATACTTTCTGGAATCTACGACGAATTTTTAGGGATATAACAAACGGAATGACAAAGTTAATATACCCTCCTTTCCAAGGAGTCACCAACGAGGTGACTTCTTTTTAAAACCTTTAAAATAGACCCTTGTAAAAATTTTTGCATTTTATGTTATTTACAGAAGAGATATTTAGATTCGAACTCATGGCGTCAGATACGAATTTGGGTGAACCATCAGGAAGGTGAGATCAGCGTTTTACCCCGCCAAACTTGTAGCAAGTTTGGTCAAGCTAAAATACTTCCCATTGACTTTGATAGCTATTGTCAATTTTGATGGAAATTTTCCAAAATCCAAAGCGTGATATAACAAGCATATCTCGATTTTTTTTGTCTGACTTTTGTGAATTTTGTGCATTCGATAACAGGATAAAAATTACAAGCTCTATTTTCTTTTAATAAAATAACACCGACTTTAAACATATTCATCTAAATATTATTAATCTAAAATGGCGATAAAATTTGTCTCGTGATTAAGATTACTAATCGCAGGTTATTAGCATTAAATTATTGTTTAATAGTAATTGAAAAAAATTACAACATATATATTCAACAATATGTTTACTGTGTTACAATTATTACAAATCATCGAATTTTTGAAATCCTTTGTTAGCGCTGTTATTGATTTTTTAGGGGCCTGTCTGCCAGCATGACTGCCTATTGGCTGGCCTGGCTATCTGCCTAATTAAACATTCTGCAAACTACAAATGAATATAAAACCACCTCCTAACGATGAGAAGCACTCAAACCAAAACGTAAGTTCAAAACAAAAAAGAGCATAACACATTTAAGCTGCTCCTGTTTCATCACTACCATATGTTCAACAACACACATTACATAAGTTTCTTTCATTTTTCAATAAACAAAAATAACAACAAACGCTAATGACGCTGTTCTGTTGTATGAAATGTAACAACGATTCGAACAAGGAAATGGTCAGTGAGTCAAACTAATTTTCCGTATATTGGTCGTTCGAATCGTGTTGTTAAACATAAAATTGCATTTCTGGCTTACCTTGAGATATTTCCACCACCAGTGGTCAGACCGCCTCCTCCTCCACCACCTCCGCTGGGCCGATTTTTGCGTTTATTGTTGTTCATTATGTTGCTGTGTTGTATGGGTTGTTGTTTCTGTTGTGTTTTGCTTTACTTCAACTTTAGCAGCCTTGTTTTTCCTCAACAAACTTTTTTTATTTCCTCTCTTCTTCCTCTGCTGTAAAGTTGAAATTTCCTTTGAATCTGTTTTTCTTCTGCTATTAGTTACCTCTGTTTTCAAACAAACGATTTGCAATTTGGAATTTTACATTTGAGTTGTGTTTGTTGTTTAAAGATCTCCTCTGCAGTTTTATCTATGTGTGTTTTTATGTTTCTTTATTTCTGTTGTTTTCGGCTGTTTTCTTTAGGTCTTGTGGTTCGCTGCAAATTTTTCACGACGTTTTTTGTCTTCAACACGTTCACGTTTTGCTGTTTACGCCGCTGCCAACGCTCTCGTCTACTGCACTGCTGCTACCACAACACTTTGCACTTTTCGCTGCTTCTTTCCAAAAAAAAAAGAATTCGTTTCTTGACCAACTTTCGCCACGTAATTGTTGGTGTTTTCTAAGCGCTGTTGTTGCAAAAATCCTTGTAATTGTTGTGTGCCGTTTCTTTTAAATTACTTTTCTTGTTTATTTGCTAATTTTAAGTGCGTAACAATTAGTTTTTAACAAATTTTTAATTGCTATTTAACTTTCTTAACAAATCTTTGATTGCTATTTACTTCGGACAATTCCACCAGAGAACGAAGCCGAGTTAACTTCAACGCCGTCAATTACAGCGCGTTCATCAGGAATGGCGTAACAGTGTTGCCACTACTCATGTTTCAGCACGACAGAGTTGATATTTGCTTATTTATGTCAGTGTAATAACGGCCATGATAAATATGGACAAAAGTGAAGAGGACACATTTCAATATGAGTTGTCGTGTTGTAATTCATTATAATTATTTATACAATATGCTGGATATTTTTTCTTCAGTATGTATGTATATATATTATCTCAGCCTCCAGCAGAAAACCAAAGAAAATCAAACATGTTGGAGAGTATTGTCGCCAATTTTATTATTTTTAAATTTTAAATGTAAATCGTTTACAAAATATTCAAATTCTATCAAAAATATTGTTTCAACTTATGTATAGATAAAAATTTTAATTTTTGCGCTTAAATCTTTGTAAAAGTTGGCAAAATTCAATAGGGAAATTTCTTCCCTAAATCTGCTGTTTCTGATAATTTGTTTTTGGGCCAGCAAATTTAAAAAATATTTTTTTGTTTTGGTTTTTTATGAGAATAAAGTTAAAATATCTAGTTTTTATTTTTAATAAAATACAATTTTTTTACGTTCTTTGTTTCTTTTCATATTTGTGTTAAAAAAGAGCACAAAACTGCTTTTATCTCTGAGAAGGAGGTTGCTGAAAAAGTTTTGCAGGAAAAGGAAACAGACAGACCCATTGAGCATTATTTACACCAAACATGTTTCCAAAATAAATATCAATTGTTTTGATAAAATAAATAGCGAATCATTAAAAAACGCATTATTTAGTTGTCGATGTTAAGCAGTATTTAGTTCAAAAATAATTCGGAAAAATTTTGCAAAAATAAGAAAAACATAAAATAAGCTAATTTGTAATGGCCTCGACTTAAAAAAATGCGTTAATCTGATTCTTTATTCTTCTGAAGGCTTGTTACATGTAAGAAATCCTGCGGTTTTATAATATCGAAAATTAAACTACTGGATTTATTACATGGTAGAATAATACAGGTAGATGCACCAATGCTTTTTTCAAAAAATAAGTAGATTTTTATACGTTTTCTTATATGACGCCAATCGGTAATTAAAATTTTTTACAAAATTGGATAATTTTTCATTCAAAAATTTCATTTTCAAAAAATCGTCGGATGTTGATGTTGGATATTGAAGATTAAACTACTGGATTTATTACATGGTAGAAAAATACAGGTAGATGTACCAATGCTTTTTTCAAAAAATAAGTAGATTTTTATACGTTTTCTTATATGACGCCAATCGGTAATTAAAATTTTTTACAAAATTGGATAATTTTTCATTCAAAAATTTCATTTTCAAAAAATCGTCGGATGTTGATGTTGGATATTGAAGATTAAACTACTGGATTTATTACATGGTAGAATAATACAGGTAGATGCACCAATGCTTTTTTCAAAAAATAAGTAGATTTTTATACGTTTTCTTATATTACCGATTAATTTTTTTTTACAAAATTGGATAATTTTTCATTCAAAAATTTCATTTTCAAAAAATCGGCGGATGTAACTAACAATTTCTACAAATTTGAATAAATTTTCATTCAAAAATTTAAACTTCAAAAAAGATTTTACAGTTCATTGTCCCAGCAGCTGTGTCGATGCGACTATCTGTATTCTTCTACCATGATTTATTAGATCCAGTGGATAGTGCTTAGATAAACCCTTGGTAGTAGAATACAGGTAGATGCATCAGTACTTAGAAACATTGATATGTCAACATTTTTAAAATGTTTTGTCAAAAATAAGTAGATTTTAATATGTTTTCTTATACGACACAAAGCGAACGTCGTTATGATATGTATTTTTAAATAATTTTTACAAATTTCGATGCGACTACCTGTATTCTTCTACCATGAATACACTGTTAGGATATAAACAGATGCCGCTCAGCTGATGTTTGTTTACGCATATATACAACCAAAACAGAATGCAAAAACAAATGAGCTATCAAAAAACATAATGTAGAGACAATTAATGTTGGAAAATTAATGTGAAAATACATAAAACATTTTTTAACTGATTTAAGTCATAGGCCTTTCTTCAGAAAATAACAAAAGAGAATAAGGCCAAAATCGAACTAAGTCAACCTAAAACTCCTTTGTTCAAAGACATAGAAGTACAGGGTTGCCCATATTCGACGGACCCATCTGGCAACGCCATAACTTTTGACAGATATGTCACATCGCTTAATGACATACCGCGTTTGAAGCGTCAGTCCAAGCAGATTTTTACCATGAACCAATACACGCCACTCGAGCGCTCTGAAATAGTTGAAATTTACAAGAAGTCAATTGTGAAAACCCAACGTGCTTTTAAAACATTAAAAAATGTGAGAAGTGCGCCTTCTAAGAACACCATTAAGCGTTTATACGAAAAATTTTCGACTGGTAAGGCTCTTTCTAATCCGAAGAGACCATGTAAAAGTCGACCAAGGCGATCGGCCGAGAATATCGCTGCCGTACGAGCCAGTGTTGAGAGGTCCCCAAGAACATCCCAAAAACGCCGTTCTCAGCAGTTGCGCATGGCTCGGTCCACTTCCCGTACAAAATTCAATTGACGCAAAGAATGTCAAAATATGGCAACCCTGTGAAAATAACACTGTTGCATGGCAGAAGAGTACAGGTAGAAAAATCTACTTATATTTAAAAAAAAACCTTAATTTTTTTTGACATATCAATGCTCCCAAGCGTTGATGCATCTACCTGAATTCTTCTGCCATGGTAACAACATAGTTAGCAATGTTAAGCGATTTAAAACGCTTAGGAAATATGCAATTAATTGGGAAGTCTATGGAATAGAATTTTGAAATCCTAATTTTGGATTTTTCAAACTTTTATTTATATTTTTTTATTAATGTGGTTTTTATATTAACATGGTCCTGTCATGAGCTTTTATTCTAGATAGCATAGACACAAACCATCTACACAGAATGCATTTTTGTCTACGAAGAAGCCAGCCGATGACTTAAGCCAGTCAAAAGAGCGTTTTATGTTCTCTCACCTTTATGTATTTTTCCCTTAAGTGTTTATTCGCATTGGTGACTTTCTGCAATGAATGTATTACCAATGACATACAATTGCTGTGCACATAAATGCTTTCCGTTAGTAAGTAGATTTCACACCGGATCTTTGTGAGATCTTTTTTTGTATGGAAAATGGCGTTGAATAAATCCGAAATAAGCAATAAATCCTGATAATGTACATTAATCAGGAAAAATGTTGTGTTTTAACACGCTATAAATCAGGATTAATTTTGTGTCAGAAAGGCAATTTATATTATTTTTATGGCTCTTTATTGAATGATTTATAAATCTAAAACTTCGAATGGATTCTGACCTAAAACGAAATCTTAAACTTACAATTTCCCACAATAAAATTAATCCAAATTCGGCTGAAAATTCTGCATGACAATCTTCTACCAGCATTATAGCAAAACAAGGCGCTATATTGTCGATCTTGATACTGGTCTTTAAAACCAAATTGAACCATATTTGTGGTTCAATGTGTGGTGAAAATGACAAAATATTTGGTCGGAAATAAATGTAAATTTCTTGACAGCTGTACGCCTATATTGAAGGAAGAACTACAAATTAGATATTCAACAATGAAGGGACACCAAATTAGAAAGTTGCACTCTTGTGATTGCGTAAGATTACCTTGGTAATTGTACCATGGGAAGATCCTAATGAATTCTGATAAACACGGTGCTCCAATAATAATTCTCTTTTTATGATATAGTCGAAATTTTGACTTCTCCAGTTCAAATTATTCAGTAATTAAATGTAAGCGATGACATCCAGTAACAATTGGAACAAATTACTGAGTAAAAAACTCAGACATGGATAACACCAAAATTAAAAACACAACCAATTATAATTGTGATAAAAACAAATATTTATAAAACAATAATTAACAATTATTGTTCTATTTATAGAAATTAAGTCATGTTTAAACATAAGCCATATTTAAACACTGGCTTTTAGAAAAATAAACCAAATTATCATTTAAATTGTATTTGTTAAGAAGAAAGGTTGTCAAACCTCGACGCAGCCATTTTCATCTTGTGGGTGTGGCATTCAATTGCTTTCCAAAAAAATGTGGGCATATTTTAATTGGTTTTTAACTTTCATTCGGAATGTTTTAGATTTCACATTTAGTATAGAGATATCAAGTGATTAAAATTAAAAAATATATATGAAATCAATGCAATAAATAATATTTCATTATGAATCGCAACAATTTTCGAACAAATCCAAGGCTGATGTTTCTGTGTAAGTCTGTGGACCATCGTTACATGTTTATGATTGATAAGCCGATATCGGACCGATGAACCCTATCCGTGGATACGAATCGCTTTACATGTGCGCTTAGAATAACGCTAAGAAAAAAACAGTAAAGAAAGTCTTAAAGTCGGTCGGGCCAAAGATATTCCTGAGCTGTATTTGATAAATTTCCCTGAATATCGTTGTTACGGAGTGCATATTACGGTTGTGGGTAACAAATATAACAAATCGGATGAAAATATATACGGGAGCTATAGCCATATCTGAACCGATCTTCACCAAATTTGACATACTAGCTTCTAGACTAAATTCGGTCCTAAGTGCCAAATTCAATCCCATTTGGACAAATATTAGACGTTTGGTGCACAATAAAAGGTAAATTGGACGAAGTTATATATGGGAGCTATATCCAAATCTGAACCGATCTCGATAAAATTACAAATGTATTTCTAAGCTGTATTTGCTATATTTCCCCAAATATTGTTGTTACAGAGTGCATATTACGGCTGCGGAGGACAAAAATAACAAATCGGATGAACAATATATATGGGAGCATAGCTATATCTGAACCGTTTTCTATCAAATTTTGCATACTTATTTTCAGGCCTATTTTGGTTGTATGTGCAAAATTCCATACTATTCGGGCTGATATTTCACGTTTGGTGCACAATTAAAAGCAAATCGGAAGAAGATATATATGGGAA